ATTGAGTTTTCAAGGAAGATGATGTCAAGTGTTTGCAAGAACTGAAGAATTCATTTAATGACCCACAAGGAAAAATCTTCATTTATGTATTTTAGTTTTTGGAAAGAGATGAAGTGGGGTGTGGTGGAAAATAAGGTTTTAAAAATCTGAGATCATAAATATCACGTACAAAAAAATTGGATTTAATTTGTTAAAAAATAAGAAGTTTTGGTATTGAAATTACAATTTTTTTTTTTAATTTTGACTTTCTTTTACTGTTTTTAACAGCAAATCTGATGAATCTTGACAGTATGTGAGTTTTTCATAAAAAATGTTTGAAATAAGGGAGTTTTCTGCAATTTTCAATATAAAAGAATATATCGCAAATGAAAACGGGTTTTTATTTTGCTATTAATCCTCTTTGATTACATCAGGAGTGAATATATTACATTTGAAATATGTACTTTTAGAAATTGTCAAATCACCCCCAAGTTTATTATAATTTGTAAGTATCAAAATTTGATATAGTCAGTTAAAAGAGTTATTCAGTATTAAATATTAATTCAAGTATAAAACTAAACTAAAGATTCAGTACACTTGGCATAATTCCTTTAAAAAAAAAAAACACTTCGATTTCACAGCTTAAATTTAGCGGAACTGTACTCAAACAAACAGCGCAAAAGCCAATTCTTTTTCTCTCTCTCTCTCTCTTCTAAATGACTCTCCGGTCACGTTTTCTTGGCGGCATAAATCCGCCAATGTTGCCTAAGCCGTCACAGCCACCGCCAGGGAAGGAGACACCTCCAGTAGAAAGCCAACAACTTGACTCAGATTTTATAGTGATACTAGCGGCACTTCTCTGCGCGCTAATCTGCGTTCTGGGCCTTGTCGCAGTCGCCCGCTGCGCCTGGATCCGCCGCATTTCCGGTAGTAACGCAGCTGTTCCGCCGTCATCTCAGGCTGCAGCCAACAAGGGCCTGAAGAAGAAGGTCCTAAAATCGCTCCCGAAGGTGACCTACGCTGCCAACGACGACAAGATCGGAAAGTTATCCGACTGCGCAATTTGCTTGTCGGAGTTCGCCACTGGGGACGAAGTCCGAGTGCTTCCTCAGTGCGGCCATGGCTTCCACGTTGCTTGCATTGACACGTGGCTTGGATCTCACTCCTCCTGCCCCTCTTGCCGCCAGATTTTGGTTGTTACTCGGTGTCAGAAGTGCGGTAGCTTGCCAGAGGCCTGCTCTTCCTCCTCCTCCGTCGCTGCCACTCGCATGGGAGCTGAGTCTGAGCCAAGCTACAGGCAAAGAGAAGATCTCATCAACAGGTTTTTGCCTTGAATTACTATAATCAGCTCAGTCCCCATATATGATTCCGAATTGGGGTTCTAATATTGAAGCGATATTACTAATCAGGATTAGCAGAAGAGAGAATTCAGTGCTATTTCTGTATGTATTTTGTAGTGTTTGAGAAAATACCAATTACATTATCTTTAATACTTCCATTTCCCTTCCTTCAGCCCCTCAAATGCTAATTAATTGGTAATTGCTCCCAAAAATATAATCGTGTAAATCCCTTTTCTTTTGATTTATTGGGCACAAATCGACCAGAAAACCTAACCAATAGAACTCATTAGCTGTTTATTCTAAGAATTTGCAGTTGAAGATATCAAACATAAATCATGTTTAATTAGAGGAACTTATTTTTGTCATTTCCCAGATGTACTGTCTTTTTTATTTTCATTTTTTAAAATTTTTTAGTTTTGCTATTAATGGTAGTGGTGGGGGTGTTGGAAAAGGTGATTTGAACCAAGAAATTGTTTTCCTTTTTTAAAGGACAAACAAGGAAGATAATATGTTTATTTCAAATGAAAGTTTAGTGCAGTAGATCCTAATATGAATTCTTTTAAGATGTGATGAGAAAGCCTTTTGAAATTAGACTTCGAATTGCGTACAAACAGTACCATTTGTTCTACAACTTGCAAAACGAATTCATGTAAGATGTCAAAAAAATCAACACCCTGCTACAGACCAAGTATAAAGCAGAGCTAGGAATTATAACCTTGGATGCATAAACAATCGGACACACAGATTGAATTTTAGAAAATTGAAAGAATGTTTACCTGCAAATAATTTTCTGGAACAAAACCAAGAATATGGAGAGACACAACATAAATAGAAGAACATGTTAGGATTCGAACCTGACATTGACATTAATCCCAGCAGAACTTTTTCGGGCGTTTAGGGGTTTTCGTCATTTCTTTCTCGAGTATTTTTTGTCTCTAAATGGCTGCACAATTTTTGAAAAGGATCGACTATCAATAAATATAACATCAAGATAGAAATCAAAGATCACCGCACATGAGGATACTTTCATCCTAGATATAAAGGTAGACTGTTAATGGGTTATCATTGCCTATAGAGAAAATTTCACACTCAAAACACAAATGGATACTTATAATTAAGAAAATTCCACACTGAAGCAAAATTGAATACTTAAAATTAGTAAGAAAGGAAAAGAAAAATAAATAAATAAAAGAGAAGGATGCTATGAAATACACAATATTGAGACTGTTGCATTGCATATTTAATTAGCAATAGATGTAAGTGTAACTTACTACATAGTAGTTCTATTATGTAAGTAAATCTATATATAACAAGGCCAACTTCACAATAGTGGCCTACATTATGTAAAATATTTAACCATTTTATGTCTATGTAATTTTTAGTTAGCAGTGTTGGCCACAAAAAATGAGCTCAACAGAATCCCCGTCACGTCCCCTCCACGTGGACATCACCTGCACACTGAACACCCCGTTAGACGGCAAAGGCCGCCGGTCAAGAAAAATGTGCAGCGACCGTTCGCATTCCGACGATCAAGTCAACTGACGGACGAGGAAAATATATGTGTAATA